CGGGAGCGGCCGCTGCCCTCCAGTCTGGGCCACAGAACTCAAAAAAAAAAAAGTAAAAATATTTGCAACAAGTATGCAAAATGTTAATGTTTAATTCTGAATGACAGGAAACGGGGTTTTGCTATGTTGAACTCTATATTTACTGCATCTTTCTAAAGAAAACCACTGAAATAGTCAATATAGAAAAGCAAGGGTCATGGAAGGTTGGAGGAATGCTGGCTCTGGCTGGGGTACCTGAGACTAGTTACTTAGCCACTCTGTTTCCTCCTCTGTAAAATGGGGATAACGGTTATTATGATTGAGGAAGCTCACACATGCAAGAATGTGTAACAACGTTCAATGATTTTCCTCCCCGGATCCGTGATTCTTACATCGCGAGGGCAGGGGCTGGGCCATAAGGCCACCCAAGGCTGCAGAGGCGCTTGTGGGAGTAGAAGGATGAGGACCCAGCCTGATTCAGCGCAAACTGGGGTTCCCCGTGGGACGTCCGGCCCAACCTGGAGGCAGCGACAGCGCGGCACCGCCCCCAGGTGGCTGTAGGGGGCATCGCTCGCTTGAAAATGCAAAAATCAAATCCAAACTCACGTGTGAGGATTGAATATTCATGTTTAGGATTTCTTTCCATTTTAATGGTGCGTTCCCGTTGTACGTATTGCGACAGATGGCGAGAGTACGATGACTCCAAGGCTCCGAAGGAAGCCAGGGGTTGACGTGCGGTTACAGGCGCCGGAGCCGCCGGCCCCATGTTGGGGCATGCGTAAATCTTTGGGGGCGGGGCTCGTGGAACACGAGAAACCTACGTCATTGTACTGATATAATCAGAGTAGAGAATGTAGCGTGCGGGAGGTAGCGTGGCCGAGTGGTCTAAGGCGCTGGATTTAGGCTCCAGTCATTTCGATGGCGTGGGTTCGAATCCCACCGCTGCCACATCCCTGGGTTGCTACTTTTCCTTCCATCTCTCTTTATACTCCTTTCGCTACTCCCTCCTCCCTTTTACTCCTTTCTGACGTTCTCCTTTTTTTTTAATCTCTAGATTACTTACAATCAAATTTTCATGGAAGGAGGAAGAGAGATCCTTCCATCTCTTTGTGTAATCCTTTCCTACTGCCTCCTCCCTTTTGCTCCTTTCTGACGTTTCATCATTTTTTTTTTCTTTTTCTTTTTAATCTCTCGATTACGTACAATCAAATTTTAATGGAAGGAGGAGGAAAGAAGGAAGAAACTTTGCTGCGGTCTTCTCCCTCTCTATCCCAGTACAGAAACCTCTTTTACCCAACAACTCCACGCCCTTAAAACACACACACACACACACACACACACACACACACAAACCGCTCCCCATTTCCAGGGGAAATCGTCTGGGTTACCTTGAGTAGTTCCCAACAGACTGCTCTGGTAGTCCCAGAGTTTACTGGGGTGATTGTAATATTGACCTGAATTAGGGAGGGGTCCTTTCTGGCCCTCTCTGTGTCCTTCGGAGGGCTCCAGCAGACGCCATGGACCTCTGTTGGTAGAGAAGGTGTCAGGGGTGGAGGGGGTGGGGTCGTAGAACTGGAGCCCCATGTGAGGGTGTCAACCCTGAGGTCTCAGCTTCATTGAGTCAACTCTTACTTGGTCTTCAGGTTTGGTTTAGGGACGCCTCATTTATTTAATCGTTCAACAACTATTTATGAAGGGCCAGAAACCCAGCTTGTTCTGAGGCTTTGGTAGTGCACAAGGTAGAGACGTTTTCAAACCTACAGAGTTTACAGACATCGTAAATTCATAGATTGCACCTGTGAAGAGTGTCATGCAGGGTCCAGGGCAGGCAAGGAAGAGACATTTGGCTGGGACCTGAAATTGAGATTAGCCAAGTGCAGGTGGGAGAGGGGACTTGCAAGAGGGAAATCCTAGGGGTGAATGAGAGGCTGGTGAGTCCGAGATGCTGTGAAGGCAATTCAGGGCAACGGGGCAGAGTGGAAGTGGACAAGTGGCAAGAGATGAGGTTGAAGAGGTGGGCAAAGAGAGCCATGAATGCCCAGCTAAGGCTTTTAACTTGACCCCAAGGGCAGTGGGAAACCACTGAAGGGTTTTAAACTGGAGAGTGGCATGTTGCAGCTTGGGACTTAGAAAGTTCCCTTTAGCAGTGGGGACGGGAGGTCCTGTTCAAAGCCTACTGCAGTCGTCCATGAGAAAGGAGGGTGGTGGCCATGTGAAGGACAGAAGGAGTGGGTCAGAGAGACATTTTAGATGTGTATCAGAAAGAACTCACTGATGAGGATGTCTTGAAGAGGAGGAACATGTCAAAAATAATGCCCAGGGTTTGAACTTGGGTCTCTGGATGACCAGGGATGCCCCTCCTCTCCCGGGGAGGGAACACAGGATAGAAAAAAAAGCAGGTCTGTGGGAAAGATAATGAATTCAGTTTTATTTCCATTGAATTTGAGATGATTGTGGGTTATAGGGATGATCAGGAGGTTGGTCTGGAGGTCACTCTGAGAAAATGACACACATTTGGGAGGCATCAGAGACTGAGGCCATGGGAAAGGATGGACTTGCCCAGAAAGAGCTCACAGAGGGAGAAGAGGGTCGAGACTGTTTAACATCATCTTACAGGGAGCCCAGTGAAAGAGGAGCCAGTGAAGGGCAGAGAAGGACTGGTCAGAGATGTATGTGGAAACAGGTGTGGAGGCCCAGAGAACAAGAATGGTGTTTCAAGGGGGAGGGAGTAGCCAGCCATGTTGAATGCTGCAAGCGACTTGGCAAGACAAAGTCGAAAAAATATTCACGGGGTTTATGATTTATGAACAGGATCACTGATGGCCTTGAGGAATGTCATGTGGGGATGGGTTGAAGAGAAGTGGAAACATAAGTATAGACAACCCATCACAAGATTTTGATTTTGAGGAAGGGGGACCCATAGGAGCAGCAGTGGAAGGGGGAAAGTGGAGACAAAGGAGGATTTTTTTTAAGATGAGAGACTTGAGGATGCTTTAGATGCCCGGCATTAGGTCTATAGCTGGGGGTAGCTTCAATACCCACAACGGAAAGGGTATGAGTTTGTCCTAATGGTCCCTTCTGATCTGCTATGCGATGGCCGTAGGTGTCCACAATAACAACTTGGTTTTCTGCTTTCAAGCTGCTTCTTCTTAGTGTCTCCAAGTAAGCTAGGAAATCCTTCTACTTGCTCTCTCTGGACCTCATGGTGGCTGGGTTTTCTGGGCAGCCTCTAAAATCCTGACAGCAATTTGTCTCTTGGGTGGAAGTGCCACCTCCTTTCCCACTGGGTATATACGCTTGAGAGGAAAAGAGTTTTTCTGACAGAGCAGCCTACGTTGCCCCCATGCCCAGGGTTTAGACATCCCATGTTCAGAGCCTCAGGGGAGAGATGACTTGGAGAAATCCAGAAAACAAAGACATCAATTCTTGGCTTTTGGCAGTAGGTCAAAGGTCTAGAAGATAATGTGAACAGTGTGAATCTGTTTCTCCTGCCCTAGGAACAGACCTCTCAGGATTGGTAGAAAGAAGAGTCATAGAAGGAGGAAGTGAGTTTAGATGCAAGCATGTTGCTGAAAAGAAAGAGAATCCATAGACTGCCAGCCCCAAATGGCCCAGGGTTTATGGATCTGAGAGAATGAGAACCAATATAGTTACAATATAGAACCCAGCATTCAACCCCAGGATGGCCAGGATGTCAAAGAGTAGAAATAATCAGGTGTGTGTTCAGACCAGTGGGTCTTGGGCAGCTTCTCCAAGTTCCCCAGCTGCAGAGCAGAAACCCCCACCCTCCTCTCTCTTTGAAGTTAGACAAAGTCCCGGTTTCCTCCTCAGAATAGGCCAGGCTCACACCTGTAAACCCAGCACTTTGAGAGGCTGAGACAGGAGGATCACTTGAGGCCAGGAGTTCAAGACCAGCATAGGCAACATAGTGAGACCCTTCATCTCTACAAAAATAATAATAAAAAGTAAAATAAAATGAGAATGAACCCTATTGTAAGAGTGGCCCTGATAATTAAGCAACAGCATATAGCTGAAACTGCCAAGAATTAAACAGACATGAGGTTATTATTGATCTTTTAAAAATTAAGCCGGACTCGGTGGCTCAGCCTGTAATCCCGCGCCTTTGGGAGGCTGAGGTGAGTGGATTGCCTGAGCCCGCGGGTTCAAGACCCACCTCGGTAGGCGAGACCTCATCTCTACAATAAATCAAAAAAATTAGCCGGGCATGGTAGCGTGCACCTGTAGTTCCAGCTACTTGGAAGGCTGAGGTGGAAGGATCGCCAGAGCCCAGCAGGTCGAGGCTGCGGTGGCTGAACTCCAGTCTGGGCGACAGTGAGACTCTAACTCAAAAAAAAAAAAAAAATTAGATATGCACATGCATAGAGAAGCATACAATTTTTAGCTCCTTCACAAACTGTCTTCCTTCTTCAGCAGAGTGGGACATACCCTGTGGTGGCGTGTTGGTTCTGATTAGTATTCATTCCCTTCCACCACAGGTAGGGATGATTGTCTTCTCTGTCAACCGCGATGCTTTGCTCGGCCAGTTCCACATGTGCATATTATGATATATACATGGGTGTATATGCACTCTGTCTTGGTACCTGCAACTGATACCAAGATGATATGGCAGCGCGTTTCCATGGAGAGCAGGGCTGGATTAAAAGTTTTGTGACCTTAAACTGTAAAGATTTTGGGGATCACCACTACTCATTAATAAATGGAAACAGGCCGGGTTCCGTGGCTCAGCCTCTAATCCCAGCACTTTGGGAAGCCAAGGCGAGTGGATTGTCTGAGCCCATGGGTTCTATACTAGCCCGGGCAACTTGGCGAGACCTCGTCTCAAAATAAATAAATAAATGGAAACAATACATCATAAAATATGACACAATAAGCTCTATTGTGTTTCCCATTATAACTGTATTGTTTCTTCAAGACATCCAATTCTTTAAAAAGTCCTCCCCTCCCCCTTTTTTGATGCCCTGTCTGGTACTGAAACCTGTGCTTAACTGTGTTGTCATACCCAGACTTGTAAACCAGGAACTCAAAAGACAAAGTTGGGCTGAGCAGAAGCCTGGGTTTCGGTGTCCCTTCAAACCCGGGTTAGCGACACACACACACACACACACACACACACACACACACACACACACACATCTGTATGAATGAGCGGACCCAAATCATTTGGGTCAGGATGGATCAAACTCAATGTTATTAGAATGCGTCTAATCCAAGTTTCCGAGACGATCCCAGAGAGCTTGGGAAGACAAGAGGGCCCACTGTCCCAGAAGCGGCAGCAGACAGCACAGACTCTACAAATGTCACTAGTCCCTAGAGGCGACCGCCGCAGCCAAGCCACAAGAAAAACCCACCCAGGAGATGGGGTTGGAAAGGGGTGAAGCCAGGGAAGGAGAGGGAGGGCCAGGACCCGATTACATGCGAGAAGGTAAGGTCTGGACCCAGAGAGAGGGGCAAGGTCATTGCCAGAAGCAGCAGCTAAGGGTGGGTTCAAGCGCACGTGGAGGGCCAGGTAGGGGGCGGACCGGGACTGAGCAGGGACGCGGAGGACCGGAAGGCGAAGCCGACCGTGAGGCTAGGACTTTGTGAGTAGCCCGGCTAGGCCTGGCCCCGGTGGGCGGTGAAGGGGCGTGGCCAGAAATCAGGGGCGGGTCGGAGGCGCGTCTGCGCCCGAAGGGCGGGGTCAGAACACGGGGGCGGGGTAGGCTGAAAGGTGCAGACGGGGCGGAGGCGTGCCCAATCCGGGGGGCGGGGCAAAGGCGTGGCCAGACCACGGCGGGGCGAGGCTCGGCCT